CAAATTGTTTAACCAGGAGATGTGTCTTCTTCCGCGACGCCTTTTACCCTGTATTCTTCCTTAAATTATTAATTGCAACAAGTTATAACGCTCGACCCTCTTGACATGTCTCAGATATTGTAGTTTTCTCATTGAAATTGTATTTAAAACCTCTTTATTTTTTCCCATTTTTCTCAACACCTCGACATCCGTGACTTTATCCACCCAACTTATTTTTAATATTCTTTTGTATACCCATAACTTGAAAGCCTCTAATCTACCCTAAACATGTTTCTTTATTGTCCAAGCCTCTAACCCATAAAATAATACGGAGAACACGTAGCATCTCAGAAGTCTTATCTTTAAAGAAATTGGAATGTCTCTGCTGCAGAGTACTTTTTTCAGTTTGTTGAAATAATTTCTTGCCTGTCCTATTCTTGCCTTAATCTCTTTTGTGTAATCATTATTTTTCTTAAATATTTTACTCAGGTATTTATATTTTTTAACTTTTTTGATGTGTTTCCTATGTATTGTTATGTTTTCTTGACGCTGTTGGGCTTTTGTAATTACCATAAATTGTGTCTTTTTTGTATTTAGGGACAGTCCGTTTACTTCACTGACTTCTACCACTCTGTCGACTATTTGTTGTAAATCCTAAAGATATTCCGCTAATAAAATAATGTCGTCGGCAAACCATATATTATTGAAATCATGAATGTGTTGCTTGTGTTAGTCCATTTCAACCATGTTCTACCATCCATCAATTAATAGAGTACCGGAATTATTTGTTTAACTTTGTATCGAGACCTGAGGATGATTTGCATATTGTAGAAAGCGAAACCTGTCGTCAGATAGTTAAATTAAATTGATTGTGAGTAAGTCTTATTTATTATTTCTTTACCTATTTCATATATTATTGATTGGTCGGCCATTTACTTTTAATTCCCATAGTTAGTTATTCTAGTGCTTCCTGGATTATTTCCTCTGAATACAAATTAAACAAAGTAGGAGACAGGGCACAGCCGTGCCTGACGGCCCTCTCAGTCTATATTTTATTTGAAAAGAAGGTGTTCTCTTTTATCATAGTGATCTGATTATAATAGATAGTGCTAATGATCCTAATGTCTCATATATAAGTTTTTCTTTTCAAGTAATTCGATAAGACGGTTATGTCTGACTTTATTGAAGGCTTTGTTGTAATCCAAGAAATACATATACAGATTGAACGAAATAAATTCGGAACATAGGAATATAATGTATTTCGGCTCAATTCTGCTGTAGGTGGTTGGCCAACAAAAGATTGTCAAATAATTATATTATAAAAATCCCATACTTCAGCGGGCTGCTGGATTCTGAACTCATAAAAATTGAAAGTTACACATAAATCTACGATTTTATTATGTTGTCAAACCAGTTATAGTCAAGGAAATGAAGCATTTCACCTCGCAATTTTTTCGTCCTGCATGTATCCATTTGAAATTTTAACAGAAGGTAGGTAATAGCCTAAGGATCAAAATCTATATCGAACCAAAGTGCGCCAAAGCCTAGGGGGTGGTTGCCACCCCATCTCCGGGGTGAATTTTTTTTTACGTTTTAACTACAGGTTTCGATTAAAAAAGTGATTCTAAACAAAAAATGTGCTATAAATTTTTTTTTATAAAATGATATTTTTCAAGTTATTCGCGATTGAAAGTAACAACTTTTAGACGAAAAAATCCACGTTTTTAATCGATTTTTCGCGAATAACTCGAAAATGGTGCATTTTATCAAATTAATTGTAGAGAACAAATTTGTAGCTTTTAAAAAGACAAATACAATTCATTTTTTAAAATGTTTTTGCGATATAATAGGAACCGAAATACGGCCTATCAATGTTCAGCGGTTTTCTTCAAATGCCAAATTTGAAAGATCCAAAGTCAAATGTTGGGAAAATGATGCATTTTTGGAAGAAAACTCACAAAACCTTTTTTAAAGAGCATAAATAGACCTATCATAAAAAAGACACTAGCTCAAAAATTGAGTAAATTATGATGAAAATAAGGTCAATAAGTCATTTTTAACGAAAAAATCGATGAAAACAACCCCCTAACCACTCCCATAATTAAAATCGATCTTCACCCTTCTGCAAATCCCTTTGTACATGTATTGTTAATACGTCCAAGAAGTTTGACCCATTTAAAATGCTTAGTTTTAGAAAAAGTACAGCTTAAAGCGAGAAACAATTTACAATTTCATATTTTTTACCCTCCTTTTTTTTAAATATTCCCGAAAATACTGAATTTATGAAAAATATAAAAATTACCAAATTGTAGCTTTTTTAATGACTAAAATTATCCTTTATTTATATTTGTTGTGCAATGAATATTTGGCGAGATATAGCCGTTTAAAGCATCGATTTACGATCAAGCACCATCTTTTTCGAGCCCTTTAAACTCACCCCATTTAAAAATCAAGGGTTCCAAAAAGATTTAATTCACAGATCCTTGTAGCTCTTAAAAACCTTCACAAATCGTTTTTGAAGAAACACTCTATCGTTAAAAATTAAATGAAATACGTTAAAAAAACCAGTTAATTTTTTTCCGGAAAATTCCATTAGTATAGTACAGTACATTTCGGAGCCTAATAATCTACAAAACCGGTATATTAGCTAGTGGGGCGTTATACATTCGAAATTTTAAGCGTTCTTATTTTGAAATCCCATACAACAGAATAAAACATCTGCTCATATGTCTATGGCTTGGCAATGAAAATATCAGAGCAACAGATTGGGGATGGTATTCCAAAGATGGTTTGTTATTACCCGTACGCATGAACAAAGAACCTGCACCCGATGAACTTTTGAAAATTATTTTTTGCCAATGCAAAAAAGGATGCGGCGTTTCATGTGGGTGCAGAAAAGTTGGTTTATACTGTAACTCTACTTGTTCTGGGTGCTCAGGTGAATGGTGCAATAACAGTCCACCAATAATTGAAGAAGATGAGGATGACATAGATCACGATGAAGATGTAATTGATGACGAATAAAATTAATATTATAATTGTTTTACCTATAAATGTAAATATTTTCAACTATTTATGTAAATGTATAAGAATATATGGTGCCGTTTTATGTTGATAAATTTTTTTGTATTTAATTCTATTTTTTTCAATTTATATCTTATAAATTAGTTTATAAAAACTGCAATGTTGTAAAGGGTGATTTTCAAAAGTTGAAAAGTTGCAAAATTTTGGCAAAAAAAGTGTTTTTACCTATAGCACTCATAACAATTGATTTTTAAGGGTTGAAAGGTTGAAAGGTTGAAAGGTTTTAAGGGTTAAAAAAAATCACTATTTAACTAATCCATACCAAATTTCACTCATCTTAAGATTTGTAATATTATTTTACAATTTTTGAAAATTAGGGGTAGTTTTCACCCCTAAGATCAATCAGGGTTCATCGGCATGACATAAACTATAAAGCAGAGGGTGCGTTGAGCTTAATTCCAAATTTTTATGCAAATCGTTCCAAGGTGAAATTATTTTCTTCGCATTACTAATTTTTTTATATTAATCTCTAATAAGGGTCGCTTTTTAAGGGTTGAAATATGATGGAACTTTATTCAAAAGCACGAAACTATCATTATTTAATTAATTCAAATCAAATTTTACCCATATTCAGGTTTAATATGTTATTTTATAATTTTTGACAATTCGGGGTAGTTTTCACCCCCAAGAACAATCAGGGTTCGTCGACATGACATAAACTATAAAGCAGCGGGTGAATTGAGCTTAAATCCAAATTTTTATCCAAATCGATCCAAGGCGAAATCATTTTTTTAGAATTAGTAATTTTTTTACATTAATCTCTAACAAGAGTTGCTTTTTAAGGATTGAAATATGATGGAACTCTATTCAAAAGTATAAAATAATCATTATTTAACTAATTCAAACCAAATCTTACCCATATTCAGGTTTAATATGTTATTTTATAATTTTTGACAATTAGGAGTAGTTTTCACCCCTAAAACCCTTCAGCGCACTTCGGTTCGATATAGATTTTGATCCTTGGGCTATCACCTACCTTCTGTTAAAATTTCAAATGGATACATGCAGGACGAAAAAATTACGAGGTTTTAACTTTTTTCGAGCTTCATTTCCTGAACTATTATCGCTTCCTTAGACAAACCCGTCTTACGCAAACAACTTTGTTGCGAGACAGATAGTTGAACGATATTTTATACAATGTCTATACCCAGGTATGGATTTATTTTTGTCCAAGTTTTATATTGGTCCACTATTTCAAATGCAGTTCAAGCAGACATGTATTAAATTGTATGTTCCGTTTTAATTTGGTTCAATCTGTATACTGGCTGATTAACATCCATGCACCTTTGCACAGGTACATTCACAGCGAACAGGGCTTCCCTCGTTCCCAGTGTATTTCTAAATACAAATTGTGTCACTTATGTCATGCTTAAGCTAGTTGTGTATTCTGGGGTATATAATTTTTAAAACTATTTTGAGCGTATAACTCATTAAACTTATTATGCGGTAGTCTTGGCATTCTTTTGCATTTGTTTTTTTTTTGGTAATGTTATGAATGTTGACATCATCCAATCTCTGGGAATGATTCGGCCAAATAAATAAGTCGGCCAATATTCCAGTTTGCTGTTCTTCTATTTATGTCTGCAGGTATTTTGTCAGGACCTATTGCCTTGTTGTTTTTTGTTTGCTTTATTGCGTTTATCCTAATTTTGGGCACCGGATAAATTTTAGGTATTTGGGCGAGGACAGTGGAATATATTCATCTGGTTGTTAGTAGTAGATCTATTGGAAGTTCACGCGTTGTTATACCATCAATTGTATATGTGTTTTGTTCTTATTATTTGTACTCCTGTACACAACTGCTGAGCTTATACTACATTTGAGCATTTTTATATTGCATTCACTGTTTAAATATATTATTACTAAATTATATTAAACCAAATTAGATCAATGCGTTGTTTTACAACTTTATTTATCTTATATTAATTATATTTCAGCTAGCCGACGAGGGATGTGAAAAAAGAATAGGTACAATTTGTTATGAAGATAGTACCTATCCAACGGACGAAATTCCCATAGCTTATAAGAAGCTGGGTACAAAGTTAATTTCGGCGTTCGGTCGTCATATACCACAAACTCGAGTAGTTGAAAAAGAAGTTTATCAATCTTGCCAACTATGTCAAACGGACAAAAATTTTAAGATCGTACCTCTCAGTATAATATCTAACAATAACGAAAGATTGTATGTTTGGTCTGCATCCAATTATCCAAAGCCAATAATCGAAATAAGCACTTGCAGGTAAATAATTATTATTATGTTATTTAAATAGTTCCAGAAATAAACTTAAATTTTATATTGCTGCTTTTACTTTTACAACTTGGTGTATATCTTATTATATATCTTGTAAAATTAATTATATATTAATAATGACAAAACAAATTTGTTTATTTAATTTTAATAAAATATAAAATCAATTAATTAAATATAAAAAAATAATTATACAAAATAGTATTATGATTATTATCTAGAAATTTAGCGGATCAGTTCCGCTCTCAACAATTCTGGATTCGATGCTAAGAACAAAGAACACAGAGAAAAAATAGAAAGATCTACGTATATCTTAGACAATCTAAATAACGAGAGCACAGTTACTTTACTCCTGGAGACTAACACAAAAACTATAGGAATCACAAAGATCAACGACGGATGAATACGAACATATAAAAAACTGCATGAAAGACGTAGCGCTAGAAGCCTTAGGGCCACAGGTACAGAGAGTAGATAAACCATATTGGTGGGATAAAGAAGTGGAAGAAAAGAAAAAAAGAAAGAAGAAAGTATATCAAAAGCTACTATAAAAGGGAGATGAACAAACAAAACAACAATATAAAAACTTAAATAAAGAAGTCAAACGAGAAGTGGTGAAAAAGGAAAATAGTGCATGGGAACAAAAATGCCAATACTTAGACAACCATATAGGAGGGACAAAGAGCTCTGAAGTCATAATAAATAGAATACCAGAGAACACATAAGTAAAGCATTGTAAGAACTTATTAACAGAGGTAACTGAAAGGTTTAAATAGAAAAATAAACAAGTGGAAGTAGAAGGAAAAAAAGAAATATCACTAGAACAAGTGAAAAAAGTAGTTAAAGGAATACAATTAAGAAAATCTCCAGGCCCAGGCGGAATACATCCAGAATAGATTAGGTATAAATAATCAAAACTGTTTGAAATGATCCAAAAATTATTCGAAATATGCTTAATCGGAAAAGAAGTTACAAAAGAATGAAGATAATCGTATATTTCTCCAATACACAAGAAAGGCACAAAGACGGATCCCAAAAGCTATAGGGGGATCGCAGTGATTGCTACTATAGGCCGACTATACTCAAAAGTATTACGAAACCTGATAAACCTGACAAACAACCCGAAGAACAAGCGAGAGTTCCGGACGCTCCACAATGGATAATAATTTCACATTAAAAATTACAATTGAAAAACGAGTGCAGAGAAATAGAGAAACTCATATAGCTTTAATAAATGTGGAAAAAGCATATGACAGTGTATCAATCTCCCAACTATGGATAGAAGTGTGTAAGTGGGAAAATAAACCCAATTCTTATTAACCCCACTCAAAAATACTACAAACAAAACTTTGCAAGAAAAAACATGAGACAATAAATCACCTCTCCTTTTCAAATCTGCTGCTGTCTATCACCCACCTTATTTAAAATCTATTTGGACAGATCCTTAGTGAAATGGGTAAAAAATGTAAAAACATGGGAATAACGGTGAAAGAAAACACAATTGATACACTTTTCTTTGCGGATGGTAAGAATTAGCTATATGGTAAGAAAACTGCAAGAAAAATATGAGGTGGCAGGTCTAAATATGAATATGACAAAATGTGAATATCTCGCAATGGGAACAGATGAAATATGTGACCTAGTCTTGGAAGATGACAAAATCAAAGGCGAGCAATCCTGCAAATATTTGCGGGTCATTTTCAACAAGAAGGAAAACAGCGCAGATAAAATCAGGGAAAGAATAAATAAGGCTAGAGCAGCATTTACGGTAGTATAGTCCAAAATATTACATTTTACGCTTCGGAAGTATGGGACGCCACCAAAGCTAATAGAAACTTATAACGACAGAAATGGATTTTCTAAGACAAAGCTGCAATAGATCGAAACTGGAGAGAGTTAGAAACGAAGAAATAAGAAACGAAATGAAAATGGAGCGAAATATCAATGATGACAGAAAGAAAACAATTAATCTGCTTCGGACGTGTTAACAGAATGCCAGTGTGCAGACGGTCTAGAAGAGTGCTGGAATGGATCCCTTCCGAAACAAGAAAGAGAGGACAACCACGGAGAAGTTGGCGCAACGATATTGATGAAGTAATGGCGGCAAGAGACTAACAAGAGGCAACTGCATATGACAGAAAAAAATGTAAATTGGGGCGGAGAAGCAGCGGCAGCTGTAATCAATCCGTTATTATACATAAAAGGTAATCAGATAATAAAATATTAGAATGAATGGAACTATTTTAATAGATCGACGCAAATTCTCGGATTTGCTGACGATATAGTTTTAATGGGCAGAAGTATGAGAGACATGGTGCAGTGTTTTACAAGGCTTGCTGACGCGGCAAGTGAATTAGAACCTGTGGTAAACGAAGAATAAACTAAATATATGTTGGTTTCTAAAAACCCTCTAAAATATGCAACAGATAATTCAAATTAACAACCAAACCTTTGAGAAGGTCAAATAATTCATAAAAGAGAAAAAATAGCAATAGCAAACAGAACTGTTCATGGTCTTCTGAAACATTTAAAAAATATTAACATAAAACGTGCAGTAAAACTCAATATATACAAGACCTAAATAAGACCGGTTTAGATATATGGGGCTAAAACGTGGACCTATATAACGTGAACTATATCAGTTATACACCGATTGAGATATTGTGAAATTCCTTAACGTGCAGAGAGTTAGATGGGTTGGACACATTGCTAGGATGACAGATCACAAATACTCGAAGAGATTACCATTTTCAAAACCAAAGGGCACAAAAGGCAAAGAAGGATGGAAGATTGCTTGCTGTCCATTTTTGGCAACTTCCCTCCATCCATTAGAGATTCTAAGATATGGAGGAAAGTTGCCAGAAATCGACAGAAATGGCGACTTCTTTGTGAGCAGACCAACATCCACAACGAATTGTCAAGCCACTTATGAGATGCGTAAATATTCATCAAATCTCCGGATGCAGTAGGGCAATGGCGAGACTAATCTCATCGTACTTAAGCGGCCGGATTTCCGAGTTCGGAAAAGACAAGTCCTGTCGACCTTGGAACCTCGTAAGCTGGAGTGCCACAGGAAGCGGTCCTGCTTCCATTACTGCCGTAATATATAACGCCGATAGTCCAAGAATACCTAGAACTCTATTCAACCTTTATGCACACGATACAGCAATAGCGGTCAAACAGAGAAACATAAATATCACAGTAAAGAACCTGAAAACAGCGTTGAAAAATATTGAAGAATGAAGTATATAATGGAAAATCGCCAGAAACTAAAATGCGATTAAAGCGATAAAAGAAAATCTCATCGAATGGAAAAGCGAATCAAATTACCTGGGAGTCTTAATGGACAAAGAACTGATATTAACAAAACATGTAGACGCTACAATATAAAAAGAAAACATGGCAAAGGCGTCAATAAGAGGACACAGGACACAGGTAGAAAAAGCAAACTAAGGACAAAAACAAAAATAAGACTAATAAATAGTATCATACTACCGACACTTACGTACAAATCTCTCGTATGGGGACACGTAAGGGGACACGTATGTAACACGACAAAGAGAAAGATACAAGCATCCCACAATAGCAGCTTATGAGAAGTAGTTAACGTTTTAAGATACGTCGCAGAACGATTCCTTTTTAGAGAACTGCATTAATTCAGGGTAACGGACCTAATGAAGGAAAAAGCCAGGAAAAAATTCGCAGAACTAGAGAATCACCGGAGTCCCATCATACGTAAAATCATATTATATGACGCATTCCACAAAACACTGTGTAGTAATTAAATAATTAAGTACCACTGCCTCAGTAATTAAAATCTTACTATCATAACATCCTACCAAAAAAATTTATAGAAAACATAAAAAAGGCCTCGGCTACCAAAAAATTATTAAAAACACTAATAAAAACTCTATAAAAGTCGGAGATGCCACACTGGACAGAGTAGAGAAACTCGTGTATCTCGGCAGTAATATCAATGAGAGCTGGGATCCAACCGCAGAAATTAAAAGCCGAATAGAACAAGCCCGAGCTGCCTTTGTAAAAATGAGAAACGTACTTTGCAGTTATGATCTTAGCATTGACCTTAGAGTTCGTATGATATCTTGCTACATCTTTCCTGTCCTGCTGTATGGAGTAGAAGCGTGGACCCTAACTGAGGCTATGCTTAAACGCTTGACAGCCTTTGAGATGTGGGTATACAGACGACTACTAAAAATAAGCTGGGTCGACAGAGTTAGAAATGAGGAGGTCCTTAGACGGCTGAACCAAACAACACAACTGGTCAATATAATAAAGAAACGCAAGCTGGAATACTTCGGTCATATTATGAGACACCCTGAAAAATATGATCTTTTACATCTGATCATTCAGGGAAAGATCCAAGGTAATCGTGGTCCTGGTAGAAGAAGAACATCATGGCTGAAAAATCTAAGGCAATGGTATGGAAAATCAACTACATCGTTATTTAGAGCTGCTGTCAATAAAGTCACGATAGCGAATATGGTAGCCAACATGATATCCAACGATCAATAACGGTCATGGAACTGGAAGAAGAAGAAATAAAAAAGGGACAAACACGGACAAACACGGACGCAAGCCTCAAAAGCCACTAAAGCCGCAAGAATTAATAAAAACCAAAAATCCCGGACACGTAGGGAACAAACTATTGAGCATCAAGTTCGAATGGGCGTCAGCCCAGAGCAAAGGCTTAAGGCCCAAGCAAGCAATTTCAGTTTCGCGGATAAGTCACATGAGGATCACAGGAATAAAGCTTGTCATGCTGTGCTGAATTTAAAATCGAATATTGAACCATGTTGGAGTTTTATACCCAGGAGTCCCACATGAAGAGCATTTGGCTGATAGTTGTGCTCCCATTGCGCATTAGAGTGTTATAGGGGGGAAATGGATGGTCGATAGTAGCGAGGTAAAGTGAATTCCTTCTGTTTTACTTGAGGTAATACACCTCACTTTAGTTAATTGTTACTGCCAAACGTAATTTTTAGGGGTCAAAATATATCACAGGGTTGGTTCTGAGGTGCCGTAAAGCTCCAAAAAAATGTTCTCCAATTGTTCCACTACTGGTCATGTCCTCAAATCAAAGTAGAAACTAAATAAGCACCTAAATATTGTTCTTTAATATTAGATGGATAATATAGATGTAGGTTTTCTAACACTTTTTCCGTACTACTAGAGACATGTATTTTTGATCGTTTTTTGGGGAAACATCCTTTGCAGAATCTGTAGATCTGGACATTTTAAATTACAAATTACAATGCACAATCTTAAAACTCATTTATTTATTACAACGAAATACCTGTCTAATGCAGAAAGAAACGTTAAGAAATAGTTACAGATGGCTACTCGACTGATACTATATATATACTAATACAAAATAAGTCTAGTCCTGAGATACTAGACTACTCCTCTTTGTTTACATGTACTATCGCTTCTTGATAAAAATGTTATAGGACTGGTGATGTTATTTCGATTTTGTCAGTTTGGTACTCCATTATTTCGCAGTTTCATTAAAGAGTCTCTAAACAATCAGGGATCAAACTATATATGTTTTATTAAAAATATTACGGACACAGTAGGTTATTTATTAATTTAGCGTATGGATAATTACAATACGATAAAAGTAGTATTTAGATAATAATTATTAATTCTTAATTATGTTCAAATTGGAATTGTAACCTAAGTTAAATATTAAATATTAATGTCCAAGTTGCACAGTCATTCAATTGCACCAGGAGAACACTCTGCAAAATCTTGAAGGTCTCCGCTGTATCTGCGGATTGGGCAATCCGCCATGATGTGTTGGATGGTCTGTCTCGGGGATCCACAATCACATTGTGGGCTTTCTGCATGACCCCATCGGTATAGAGAATCGGCACATTTGCCATGACCCGTGCGTATGCGATTTAATTTTGTCCATATAGGTCGTGGCAGATTTGATCCAGTGAAGCCGATCGATGTACTTGATATTTTGATGACGTCTGGCTCTGTTGTTGGCATCCATCTTTTCGTCCACTGCTCTTGCTTATTGTAGCTATCACCCATTCCCTGAACGGATTGGACAGGGGGTCGTCTGGACTTCAGTCTTTGTTGGTCTCGTGCGGCGTGCGGAATATACTGGTGAATTGGCAGACGATTATTTGCCATGATTTTCTGATATTCTCTGACAAGTGCTACCGTTCGTCGGATATCTGGAGGTGCTATATTGCTCAGAATTGGAAGCCATCTTAGTGGAGTTGATTTAATAGTACCAGATATTACTCTCATAGTGTAATTTAGTTGAACATCAATCTTGTTGACATGAGCGCTATTTAGCCATACCGGTGCGCAGTATTCAGCGACAGAATACACCAGGGCCAGTGAGGAGGTTCGAAGTGTATCCGCAGTGGCACCCCATGTCGTTCCAGCAAGCTTTGTTATTATGTTGTTACGGGTTGTCACTTTGGCAGCTACATTCGTAAGATGGGTTTTGAACGTCAGTGATCTGTCGAGCGTTACACCCAGGTATTTAGGGTTGTTATTATGTTTCAAAGTCTCGCCATTGAAGTTGATGCTAAGGGTGTCATTCGACAGCTGATTTGTGAGATGGAAGAGACTTGTCTCAGTTTTGTTGGTATTAGGGCGAAGTCGCCATTGTTTAAAGTAGTCGCAGAGAACCCTTAAGTCTTCGGTAAGCGCCCTTTCTCCAACATCTTTGGCTTGGTTTTGAAATGCGATAGCCAGGTCATCTGCGTAAGCAAATTTTTTTGATTTTGTCACTGGAAGATCGGCTGTGTAAATGTTAAATAATAGTGGAGCAAGCACTGAACCCTGTGGGAGGCCATTATTTAGCTTTCTGACATTGCTATTTGTAGCGTTTATATATACTTGAAACAGTCTGTTAGTTAGGAGATTATTGATTAGTTGGCAGGTTTTCAGGCATGGTATGACCTTCATTAGCTTGTAGATCAGGCCTTCTCTTCACACAGTGTCATATGCAGCCGTCAGATCTATAAACGTTACGGCTGTTTTTTCCCGTTTTTCGAAACCGGTTTCAATAAATGTCGTTAAGGACAGTACTTGATCACTACAGCTACGCCCGCTTCTAAATCCGGCCTGTTCGACTGTGTCGGTGATGGGGTAAATTCTGTTATATATAAGTCGCTCTAGTAGTTTGTAGCAGCAACTGAGGAGGGCAATGGGTCGATAGTTTTCGGGTAGTTCACCGTCCTTTCCAGGTTTTAAAATTGCAATAACTTTGGTTCTTTTGAACTCTGGAGGTAGTACAGATGTCTTCATTATGTCACTAAAAAAGTCTTTGAGCCAGTGTCGCGTTTTTGGACCACAGTGAATTAATAACTTAGGATACATTCCATCGAAACCTGCCGCTTTGCCTTTTTTAATTTGACTGAGGCCATCGTTTATTTCGTTCAGAGAGAAGCATCTTGAAAACTCTGAAGTAGGAGGAGTGTTTGTCTTAAGTTCTTTTAGAGCTTTTTTTGTAGACGTCGTATGGATTTTGTCAGAGGGGGCACGCGATACTTCAACTATTCTGTTAGCTATCCTTTTCGGATCGATACTGTTCTTGTTCAAGCGTTTCTCTCTAACGGCTCCACCTAGTCTACGTAGCAATCATCATGCCTTCTCAGGATCTTCAGAATCCACAAATTCTTCATAGAGTCGTTGACTTTCTTCTGTCCAGCCTGGGATGTACTCCTTTTGAAAACCACGGGGTTGGACACAGTAGGTTGTAGTTTGATAAATAATTTAATAACATATTGAATATTTTTTTAGTCCGGAAGCCAAATGTCACATCGAGGATCTTCAGGATGATTTTGGAACAATTTGCTCACAGAAAACTACGAAAATAAACTTGCTGGTATATAATTCAACATCAAAAGAATTTCAAGGACAAATTGTACCTTATCCTAGCTCCTGCGAGTGTGAAGTTGTAAATACGAGCAGAGACTTTGAAGATTCACCATAGATAAACCAGTAATTTTCGAAATATTTGTAAATGCTTAATACATGTATATCTTTTGTTAATTTATTTTTATTTTCAATAAAAACTTTACTTTTTAATAATTTGTTTACAGTTCTATCCATACTACTCTTGGCTGAATCGAATAGTTTAAGAGTAAGATAGCCAGGAAAATGCCCAGATAATAGGAGCAATATTGGTAATAAGACCATCAACCTAACAGGCAAAAAGGAAAATGCTTATAAATCGATCACAGATTAGAAATATCTTCCTAACCTCGGAAAAAATGATGTATTCTCGATGTTATCGACTTACTAATTATTTTATTTATGTTTTAAAATATCACACATATAATCAGAGTTTAATATTAACCCTAGAACTACAACGTGAGGTCCCTTGTGACTCAGACGTTTTGTTTTTCTTGAATATGCTTGGGCGCGGTCTAGATCTCGGGCTGCAAACTTCTTTTACAGTAAGAATGGAATGACGTCACCCAGTGATTAGGTGCGTCATTGTCAAACTATTTTTCCATTTCCGATATTCTGTTTAAAGACACATCTTCTTCTTTTTCTTGTGCCGTCTTCTAACGAAGGTTGACGATCACTTCTTTAAACGCTTCTCGATATTTTGCAACGTAAAATATCTGTTCAACACTGAGGTTAGTCCAATCTCTGATATTCCTCAGCCAAGATTTCTTCTTTCTTCCCAAGCCTTTTCTTCCGTCTACTCTACTTTGCATGATGACTTGTAGCAGATAGTATTTATCGTTTCATAGTATGTGGCCCAGATACGATGTTTTTCTTATTTTACCTGTGTTCATAAGCTTTCTGCCATGTCCAACTCGTCTTAACACTTCCTCATTTGAGACTTTTGCAGTCCAAGGAATCTTCAAAATACGCCTATATAGCCACATTTCAAATCCTTCCAATTTTTTTATAGATTGGGCTTTCAGAGTCCAAGCTTCTACCCCATATAGTAGTTGCGACCAAACATAACATTCGACGAACCTTAATCTGATGGCGATATTCAATTTCTTATTTGTAAACATTGACTTGTATTTTATAAAGTCTTTTCGAGCTATTTCTATTCTGACCTTTATCTCCTGCTCTTAATCTAACTGTTAGTTTATAATTGCTCCGAGGTATTTATATATGTCGACTCCCTCTAGGGGTTTACCCTCCAATGTCAGTTGTTGTCAACAGGGTTTTTTGAGATCACCATGTATTTGGTTTTATTTATATTCATTGTTAGTCCCATCTTTTTGCTTTCTCTGTTAATGATTTCCAGGAGAGTTTGTAAATCGTAAAGAGTTTGTAAAAGACCATCGAGTTAGAATCTATGGAGAGGGCATCACGTGACTAAAAACGACCTAACTTCGGCCATATTGGTATTATTATTTTGAAAGTTTTGACAGATCGTATATGTTTGGTTATATTTGTTGTTTTTCGAATATTTTCAGTTTTATAATAATTTTATAGAAACTGTAATATATTGTGATAGTGCATAATAATGGTTTCTTGTTCTCAACGTAGTTGCAGTAGCAGAAGTAATGTTAATAAAAAATCTTCAGGAATATCGTTCCACAGGTTAGTATACAAATATGTAAACAAAGTAATGGCCCGTACTTCAGAGAATAAATTAATACTATTTGACTGTATTAATTTATCTTTATATATAATATATCGTGTTTTTAGTGTTTACCACGGGATAAATAAATCATAGTTTATTAAAAATGTATTGCACTTTTTAGATTATGATTAAATCTTCTGAATAACTAGTCATATTTGTATATTAGTTTTATTATTATTGAGTCTGGCCCTGATGTCACCGCCATATTGGTATTATAGTTAGCCACTCCTACCTATGCCGTTTCTAATACATACGTTAATATGCTCATAGCTTCTCCATAGATTCTAACTCGATGTAAAGGACACATAACCTAGCTTTTTGTTTTCTTGTTTTAAAATCAATTTGGTCGCTTTTGATTCACAAGTTGTACATTTTTAACTATAACTAATTTATATCCATCTTTTTATAAGTAACATTTTGTGGGTTAATCCAAGATAACTTGAAATGTTGAAATAAAAAAATAGAAAGAAATTGTTTTTCCTTTCTTGATAAATTTGGCAAAAGACAAAAGTAATTTGATAGAAGACCACAAATAGAGTATTAGCAGTGAGGTTTTAGAATAACTTTTATTAGGATTTTTTATTATTATGATCGTAACATAAATGACAGTCATATAATATGTTACTGATTAAATAAGTAAGTATAAAAGCACATTAAATAAACGCAAAACTGCTAAAAATATATGGTTTATTTATCTTTAAAAATAAATAATACATTCCCCATTGAATATAGACTTATAAATCTATGAAAATAGCGATTTTGAAAAGTGGTAACATAAGTGAGCTAAAGTAACATAAATGACAAATTTTGTGAAAATATGAAAAAATCTGTATGTTTTTAGAAGTGTTTCCGAAAACTGTAACGTCTCCGTCTAATATGAGTTTGTGGTAAAACATAAAATAATATTTTCAAATATAACAACATTCTTGTCTTCAATATTAAAAAAAAATCCATTTCCTTTTTTCCTTAAACAGCTTATAAAATATGAAGTGTCATCATTGACCTCAAGAATAACACCAACGAAATGTTTTTTGGTTTTATGTTGTCCTTCATCAAAAGTAATTCTGCAAACAACAAAGTTGCCCACGGTAAGGCACTTGGTTAGGTTTTTTCTTGATGATAGTGAAGTATCATCTTCCCAGTCAAAAAGCTCAGTTGTATTTTTTTGGTGTAGCGGAATATGAATTACTTCTCCAACAGTTGCTTCCTCTTTATTTTCTATAGGTAGCGTATTCGACTCAAAAACTTTAACTTCTTTGCAGTTAAAACACATTAAATCTAAAACCAGCAATTTTTGGTAAACACATGAGTATTCTCGAATGTAGAGATTTTGTTTACGGCCAACTAACAAAACTTGATGGACTTTCATTATTCCTGGAATTTTCATTATTTGATTGAGAGTTTTCGTGTTCTGTAGATTTTATGTTATCCTCAGTAATAAAAAACATTTTTATGGCTTTGGTTTGGTCTTGTACCAGTTGAAAGAAAGCTTTAATATCCCCCTCATCGTATCCCACAGCAAAAAGATTATCTGTAGTCCTTTTTACAGCATCACCTATTCCATCTTCTGCAGCTTCTGAAAAATTCCAAGTACCGCACCTGAGTTTATAAAACAGAGTATTAAAGAAAAAAATGTCTTTGTTTTTATATTTCGATGTTGGTCCATCACTAAAGAAATAAACAACATCAATCTTTTCTGTTCTGAGTTCTAATAAAATTGACATGAGATGAGCCCACACTGCTGACGGATCATGTCTTCCCGAATTAGATACTGTCCAGTAAAACTGGTGTTCTCCATTTTCCCGATAGACGACTACTGTGTGCATGGTAGCTTGATTATGAGAGGCACCAAACCGCGTAACTTAAACTTCTTTACCTATTTTAGATAAGTTATTTTTTAAAAAATCAATGTGGACGGCAACTTCATCGTAGGATAATTCTGATATGCATTGTTTGGACTAGTTAAATTGATGACTGATTTGAAATACGTGTGGACTGAATTGTTCGTTAAATTATTTGTTAAAACCTTTAATTAAATCGAATAAGCTTTCCTCTTCTTTAACTTTAACTGTCTTTAAAAATTGTAATGGTTTTCCATTTTTCTCTATTATATTTTTTTCGGTTTTCCAAGCAAACCATGTATCTTGCTGGAATGAATGTACACACTGGCTAACCATTTCTTGATCTTTACAAATTGAACATTTATTAATCATACATAAGAACAAATTCACATAGCATTTGACAGTTTCACAGAGCCCACAGAACAACTTTTTTCTAATTAAAGTGTTTAGTTTTTTTGTGAATTGTCATGTTTTTACATAAACATGAGTCATGTTCTAATAATTTAGGTTGCACCCAAAAACGACGCGATTTCAAAAATTTACTATTTGCACATTTTATATTAAATTCCTTGCAAAATTTTTGATAAAGACTATTAACTGACTGCAACGAAAAACTTTTTAGTTTTTTAACTTTTCAAAAAGTGATTTGAAAAGTGAAAAAACTTCTTTAGCTTTAACCATAACTTACTAAGCCGCTTTCTCTGAGCATCTTTTTTGTGGCATCGGATCTGAATCCTATTTTCTTAAAAGCTACAAAAGTCACAAAGTTATATTTTTTAAAATTTGGTCCTTTATGAATTTGCGAGGGTGTTATCTTTAATTTTTCATTGGGACTTCATTTGTAAGTCGTTTTTAATTCTTCAAGAAGAACGTCTTGAAATAACAATTTCCGTTTTACCGATTTTGAAATTTCTTGGTCTTCAAGTTCTCGATTGAGTTTAGATAGAGGAGACTGAGATGTACTAGGTACTTCCAATTCTTTTTTTCTTTAAACGCCGAACTTTAGTCTTGTATGGGTTAATTTATTCCTTTGCATCTTCTAATTCCTTTTTTAGCGTTGCTATTTTTCTATAAGTTGCTGCTCGATCTCTTCGTACGTTCTTTCTGTCTCTTTTAGATGGATTGACTTGTAAAACTGGTAATTCGCAGGATGGGCTACTCAGTGGTGTATTGTTGACAATAGCTTCCAATCTTCTTCCACGAACTTTTTTATTTTCACGATATTTTCGTTGAGTTTCTTTCCAATATTTTCTTTTGCGTTTCTGTTCTCTCTCGTGTTACTCATAAATAGGTTAATCAATCTTAAGTTCTTTTTGTCGTTTTGCCAGCCCCCAAAATTTCCTTAGAAATTCACTCCTTCTGAATTTGCATTCACTCTTTCTCTGTAGCACCTTTGCTTCTCCGTTGCTGTTAAAGCCATCTGTAAAAGGAACCTTAAGAATACTTCATAATATTTTTTTATTGGTAATCTTTAACCCTGTCATTTATGTTACTTAATTACTATTTATAACTGGGAATAAGCCACAATTAAAGATAAAAAATACGTTTATTGACGTTTCAATTTCCAATTCGGAAATCGTTCTCAAAATACAAACAGTAAATTAACAAACAGTAAAAAAACAAATGTTTGTTTT